TCTTTCAAATGCGACTGTAAGCTTTTTTGTCTTCAAAATAAGGGTGCGTCTTATATTCCGAAAAATACGGTATATTTTGAATGTAGTTTTTTATGCTGATTTCAGAAATATAAATTAAAATTTGGAGAAATTAAAAAAAAAATATTTTTTATATTTTCTTATTTTGCTTACGAAACAAACGAAGTACTTTTAGCATTACATATATATACCTATGTATTTAAAAAAATTGCAAAACATCAAGACAATACAAAATATCTAATGACAATGTAACAAATTCAATGTGAAAATTCAGAAATGATCTTAAATATCTGCTTGAAGAGATCGTTATTTTCATGCCCACGACGCCAAACAAACTTGTTACGTCGTTTGTTACGTCTCTTAATCACATTCCTTTCAATTTGCTGCAGATTTCAGAAGAATAAATTACAATCCGGGAAGAAACGGGAAAATAGTTTCATTTCTTTAAGAATTTTTAAATGAAACATATTTTTTATTTAAATAAACATGTAATTACACTGATTAGTTTAACTTGATCTAACCTTATATAAACTGACCTAACCTGGAAAAATATTTAAAATATTTGTTTTCATTTTTTTCAAATGTTAATTTATATTTCTGAAATCAACATAAAAAAATATATATTTTTCTATTTGAACGTGGTGCATGAAACAGAAAACATCCGAAAACTCATTTGATTTCAGCTATTTTGACTACAAATGTGTTGTACAGAGGTCATTACTCACTTATGCATTAAAAATATTAAAGGCATTGAAAATTATAAAAAATATTATGTTTCGTTGAATTTCGCACTCGAGGACTATCTGCGCTAGCCGCCGTCCCTATAATTTAGATGTGATAGACTGGAAATATGGCAGATAGTCAACACCACCCACCGCCAACTCTTGGGTTACTCTTTAGTAACGAAAATTGGGAATGACCCCAATTATAAAAACCCCACGGCTGAAAACATAAGTATGCTCTGTGACGGGACTGGAACCCGCGACCCACAAGTTGCGATTCAAGCACACTATTCATCAGGCTCTACCAGTCCCTTAAAATGGACATTTCTACCATAAATATTAGAGAAAAATAACTCTGTTCAGTTAATATATACATTTTATAATCAAGATATGAAGAGAGCTACCAATATAATAAAGTTTTCAGTCTACTGTAATAATCTGAAACCCACGCTGTACAGTTATCTTAGCACAATATTACAGTAGTTTATACGTTCAGAAAATTATTTAAAAAAATGTTTAAACTGATGTCGTTGATCTTACTCGCACACGCATTCACAAATTTTCTATGAGCCACAGGCTTACAACGCTAAATATTAGGCTTCGATACTCGTGGTGGGCAGAGGATCGATAGCCCATCGTGTTGCTTTGTGCTTAACAACAACCGAATCAATTAACCACTACTAAAATAAAATAAAAACTTTCAAGGGAAGTGTTGGAACAATCTCCATTGTGGTTGGAGTATCTATACTCAAATGGCGAAGAAATAATAATAAAAAATAAACAATGAAAGGTTAGGTTTGAAACGATAGGTTTGAAAATATCATGCGCATGTACAAAACAAAGAACACGTTAACTACCGCTACTAGCAAATTAGCATTGAAATGAAATAACAAGATCGCTTCGAGAAAATCGATTATCATGTAAAAGTTAAACGTTATAGCGTTTTCTTGATTATCTTCCTTAGTCAATTACAATGTTTGAAAAAACTACATTACAAAACACACACAAAAACGGTCAGTCTACTTAAGGTGTGACAAGCAGATGGTATTGACAAGCTCAAACTTTTAAAATATTATTTGATAAATTCAACACATATTCATTGGGAATTTAAAGTATATGAATTTAAGCAGTAAACTCTTATATTATCATCCTCCGATGGGACAGCGGTAAGTTTGCGAACTCACAACGCTAAAATCCGGAGTTCGGTTCACCATGGTGGATACAGCAGATAGCCCCAAGTGGCTTCGCACTTAAAACAAAGAAACCTTAAATTATTAGTGAATGTTGTGAAGAAATTGAACAGTCAAAATTTTAATTCTCACTTGATATGAATATAAGTCTTACATATTTGTTTTGTTTGTAATTAAGCACAAATCTACACAATAGGCTATCTGTGCTCTGCCCACTATGGGTATCGAAACCCTGTTTCTTGCGTTGTAAGTTCACAGAAATACCGCTGTGCCACTGGGGGCATCTTACATAAAGTACGTATACATACTGTTATAACAGATTCATTTTTTGGGCGGATTATTTTCAGTCATTTGGTGAAAATGATGCCATGTCCAATCCACATAACTATAACAAACTAATTTATTTCTTCCTTAACGTTTGCTACAGGCTACTGTCACTTGTACACTGTCATAGGCCTAAGTTCACA